AAAGAATAAGAATGAATTATAAAATGATAAAATATGGAAAGAGATAACTTCTAAATAAGCCTAAAGAAGATGAATATCAAGATAATATTACTACAATTAATTTCTGGAAATGAATCTATGAAAATAACACTAATATAGATTTCATAAATATTAATTTATATGAAATATTAATTGAAAATAGAATTAATAATAGAATATATATATAATCACTCTAGATGAATTAAATCATGCAATAAAATTCATTGCTAATTGGAAAGTACCTGGAATTGATAAAATACAAGGCTTCTGGATTAAATATTTAGAACAACCAAAGAATTTCTTATTAAAATTATTTAATGAAATGTTGTATAATCATAATAATATCCCTCTTCAATTTATCAAATGAAGGACAATATTAATATACAAGAAATGAGATAAATTAGATAACCAAAATTACAGACCAATAACTTGTTTAAATTGTCTGTTAAAAGTATACACATCTTTATTAAAGATGAAGATAGAAAGCCAACTGATGCTAAATCAAATTGAAAAACAATTATCACAAAATCAAATTGGATGTAAAAAATATACATATTATCAAAAGAAGGATTATTATACAATAATATAATCATTCAGTTATTAATCAAGGCTAAATGGAAGTGGTTAGAAACATATTATGATATTTCTAAAGCATATGATAGTATTAATCATCAATGGGTTAAACATTGTTTAATTTATTTTAATATCCCATTAGTTGTAATTAAAAGTATATTACATATATTAAATATTACACAACTATATTTATATTATAATCAACAAAATGTATGTATAATTAATGTAGAAAGAGGAATAATACAAGGTGATAGTTTATCTAAATTATTATTTGTATTATCTATTGATATATTATCTAAACAATTAGATAAACAAATTAATAAGTTATCTATTAAAATGAATTGAGAAGAAAAACAAGTATAGTTAAATAATATATTATATATGGATGATTTAAAGATAATAACTAACAGCCTCGAAGAAATGAAAAAAGCCCACAAATTAACAAATGAAATATTTAATAGAATATGATTAAAAATAAATGTAGAAAAGAGTGTGATAATGAATAATATCAATGGTCAAATAAATTGAGAATTAGCTGAATTACCAAGAATAACTAATGATAATCATTATAAATATCTTGGTATTGAAATAAGAGATAAAATAAATATTAATAAATATTGTACAATAATATTAAGTGATGTATCTTCTATTTATCATCATTAAATATTATGAAATATAGCAGCCTCAATACAATAAGAAATATTAATAATGATATAATCTCAAAATTAAGATATTGATTCTGTATTGTCAAATGGAAACTTAGTGGGTTTGAGAATATAGATAAACAAATAAGAAAGGCACTGATACAACTCAAACTATACAGTAGAAACATCAATAAAAGTAGATTATATGTTATAATAAATGAATTAGGAATGTGATTAATGTCAGCACGAGATGAATGTTGTAAGGAATTATTAAGAATATATTTAAAATATAAATGGAGATCAAATACAGAAATATGAGAAATGATAGAAATAGTAAAAGAGAATCCAAAATGAATAATTAAAAGAATGAAGAGAGTATTTGGTAAGAAAATTAATTTCAATGAATTAATGAATATAATACAAATAAATGAAAGAAAATATGATGTAAACAAATTATTTGAATTTGTAACAAATAAATTAAATGAAAGATATTTAAATGAATGGAAAGAAAAGAAATGTAGTGAATATATAAGAAATGTAAATTGTATATTTAATAATAAGAAATTAACAGTAACCACATGGATGTCGTTAAATATAAAAAGAAATACATTCTTCCAAGTAGTAAAGATACAAGAAGGAGTAACTATGAGAGGAATTATTAAATCTAAAATACTCCATTGTGATGCTTTAAAATATTGTAAACATTGTCATAACACAATTGCATCTATTAGCCACATTTTGTTAGGATGTAATGAAGAAGAATCAAATATCAAAACACGATTATGTATGTAAACAAATATATAAACATATTTAATTACCCATTTTAATGAATTTGATGAAATATATTTTGATACACATCATAAGTGTATTAATAATAATGAAATGGTTATAACTTACAATAATGATTTATTGGTTAGTGACCATTCTTTTAATGTTAGAATATCAGATATATATTATCAAATCATCAAAGAAAAAAATGATATATTAATGATGTTGAAATATGTCAAGATAGAAACATTGAATTAAATTATATTTACAAAATAAATAAATACAAAGAATTACAAGAGAAGTTAAGACAAAGTAGAGAATTAATTTATGTAGAAATAATACCTGTAATATTAACAATCAATTGATTGATACATAAAGAAACAGTAAGAAGATTAAAAACACTAAAATTACAAATTGACTTCAACAAAATACTACAAATAATCATTATTAAAAACATAAAATACTTAATATTTTACATATTTAACACTTGCAACACATTAGAAGAGGAACCTTCTAATTCTCATATGTTAGAAATGAACTCTATTGTAGAAATAGACCATATTGAAACACTGAAATAATCACTTCTCAATAATCATAAAATCAAATTGTGAATATACCTATTGTCTTTTTTTCCTTCTTCAATTAATTAAAATGCAAGATTGAGCAATATTCAGTGGGTATAAAAAAGATAAAAGATTAAAAAATGAAAGATTAAAGTACTGCCCACTTTGTAAAGAGAATATATCAATAGTAGAAAACATTCTATTACTTGTATTTGTCATAGAAAATCACAAATGGAGAAATATGACCTTATTGATATTATATAGAGTGGTTAATAAGAAAATATATAGAAATAAACAATATAAAAATACCCAGAAACAGTGTTCCAGTATAATGGCATCTTTATGACAGAACAAACAAATAATGCCAAAAAGTGATTCACAATATCATAAAATATAGACATGTATGTATTAGATAAAAAGAATAAAACTTGTTTATTATTCGATATAACTATTAATAAAGATCACAATATTAATAGAGTATATTTGAAATAAGATATATAGAGAGAACTAAAGAATAAGCTAATGAAAATAGAGAAATTAAAAGATGTCAAAATAGTTGCATTAGTAACTCGATAAATAATCAGTAAATGCAAAGGTTATTAAATTACTGTAAGAATTAAAAAATAAAATTATCATCATAAAAGAAATTAAAAACTATGTAATTAAAAATATGATGAATGTCATGGAACATTGCTTCTACCACAACCAAACATACGTTGTTGAAAAAAACAGTGAAGGGATTAGTCTCCATTGTGCAAGGAACAATAGACACAAATTCTATTAATACTAATTAATTATTTTTTATTTATTGTAAAATTAGTTTGAGAAATAATAAAATTCATTGCTAGAATTTTGAGAATAAAAACTCTTTCAAACATTTTATTAATTTAATTATATTGTATTGGTTCAAAAAAAAATATACAAAGTAGGTAATTATTGTAAAGGACAGTACACAAAATAATATAATTAACAATCACTCATTTACCAGTCTGTAATTTTATTTCTTTTTTCATTTTCTTTATTTGTTTCTTTTTCTTCTTTTCTAACTCTGCTCTTTTTAAAATTTCACTACCTTCGAGAGAAATAAAAGCAACTTCTTTTGCATTACTTGTTTGAGTAAGAATATTCAACACTTTTTCTTCATCAACCTTATATTCTTTGAGCTGAACTCCTAATTGAGATTCTATTGACTGAATCCTATCGCTTTCATATTCATCTACAAGTGTGATTGCAAGCCCTTTCCTATTAGCTCTTGCAGTTCTACCTACTCGATGAATATAATCTTCAGCTGTATGTGGAACATCATAGTTAATGACAAGAGGTACATCTGGAATATCTAAACCCCTAGAAGCTAAATCGGTAGCAACAAGAATTAATGCCTCACCACTCCTAAATGAATTTAAGTTATTTTCACGGGCTATTTGAGGTAACGCAGAATGTAGAACGGTTGCTTTAATTTCCATTGACTTAAACATTCTAAAAATGACTTCTGTTCTTAAAACACTACCACAAAAAACGATACATTGTTTATTAATACACAAATAAGTTAGGTAACAGTGTTTAACTTTATTTGGCATAAATATATATGTTTGGTCACAATTATCAGAAAGTTTTTGTCTTTCTCCTGTAATTAAAATTTTAGTATCAGCTAGACCCAATGCTGGTAGTTGTGGAATTAAAGAATCTGTTGTTGCAGAAAATAATCCAGTAGTAACTGTTTTAGAAAATTTAGACCTAATTTTTTGAACATCATCAAGCATTCCAGTTGATGGATCAAACAACCTATCAGCCTCATCAAGAATTAAAAATTTAGCTGAGTCAAAACTGAAAGGTAAATGATCAATCAATGATACTAATTTACCAGGTGTAGCAATAACAACATGTGGAGATCCACTTAAATGATGTAAAATTCGAATTACATCAACTCCACCAACAACTTGGACAACCCTGATATTAATGCATGAACCAAACACTTTAAATTGGTCAGCTATTTGAGACGCAAGTTCTCTTGTTGGAGTTAAAACTAAAGCAAATCCAGTATATGGATCAGTAGATAAATGATGAATTATAGGAAGAGCAAATGCAGCTGTTTTACCACTACCAGTTTCAGCCCCGCCTAATACATTATGAAAAGACAATAATGGAGGAATGCATAATTGTTGAATTTTTGTTGGTTTAATAATACCAAATTGTTTTAATGTTGGAAGTAAAAATTGTTTAATACCAAGTCCATCAAAGGTATTAAGGTCAGACGGAATAATTTCTTTAACTTTTGTCTCATCATCTTTTTTTTTTATTACAGCACGCGTTGTACTACTGAACAACTTCATTTAACTTTAAATAAAGAAAAACAGAGAGATGAAAATACTGTTTTAGGGTTTTATTTAAAATCAAAAAATAGTTAAATAACAAAAAATATATATATTTTTCAATATTTAATTACTTCACCTCTAAGTAACTTCCTAATTTTTCAATTAATTTATCTTTATCTTGATAACATTTTGCTGCGTCTGTAGCATTTTCAAAATTTAATCTTACATATCCTGCTGTTCCTTTAAGCTCTACATGACATTTACCATATTTACTAAAGAAACTATCTAATGACCCTTTATCAAATTTACCATGACATTTAAATGTAAAAGAAGTTCCAATTGGTTTCATTCGATATACTTGAATAGAGCTAACACTAACAAATGAAGCATTAGCCTTTTTCTCTATTTTATTTTCATTTGTACAAAACACCCCATAACCATCTCCATTATCATTATAAATATTGCTAAAATTTCGATAAACTAAACTTGGTTTAAATGCATTTGTGATCCAACATAATCCTGGAACAGAAAATACGTTTTCTTGATTTTCATTTGACCATAAACATAAAGTAGGTAAAATCCCATCAACTCGTCGTTTATATATTTTAGGTTTAATATCAACATTATTTTTTAATGTAAACACAAAATGGTTAGGATCATCCCAAACATAAGCTGTACTTGACTCAATTTTTGAACCACAATAACTTCCAAATACATTTCCTTTTGCACTTTCAATAATAAATACTAATCTATCTTTTCCTTCAATAGCTTCATTAAACTCTTTTGCTGTTCGTGTTTGATTACTTTTTGACATATTAACATATAACTTTTCATAGTCGTAACTATTTGTCCATTCTAATAAATAATTTTTGATTAATTCATTAAAATCATATTGAGTATGTGATTTCATTATAACTAAGTTTATAAAGTTCCTTTTTTTTTGTTTTAATAATTTTTATGTTTTATATAACATTTTTATTAATGTATTTTTTATCTTTTAACAAAAAAACATTATATTTCTTTTTTTTTTCTTTTTAGAATTATTTTTATCAATTTCAATTTTTTATTTAAATTAAAAAATTTTATTAAAATAGACTTTTAATTAAGGAATTATAATAACTTTTCTAAAAATGAATGTTTATCTTTCCGTAAAAATCAAGAAGGTAAATACCGTTAAATGAAAAGTCAAAGTATATGAAAAAAAAGTTTAGAGCTCATTCTGAAGTAAACCATGTAGCTGTTTCAGTTGAATATAAATGTTCACTACAAAACTGAAAAACACCACGAAAACAAAGTTCTTCAGAAGTTGGAGTATTTCTAATAATTTCATTATCTTTTTGATAAAAGTCTATTTCTGATTTTAAGTAAGTTTGAAATAATTCTGGGCATTTTACTAAATAATTTTCAATAACATTTTCTTTCATATTACATACAGAATGAAATATGTTTACAATCTCTTTATCATATCCTTTTAATTCTATAAAAGCCCTTTGAGAACACCTACCATAAGGATTTCGATTCATTAAATTTGTAGTAACTTGTGTTCCAAACAAAATAACACCATTTTTATTAAATGGACCTAATTCTTTATAAATTCTTAATTTGAGAGTTTTAACTGAAGTTGTTTGTTTAGCAAGTTTAAAATAAGGTCCAGTAACACTTTTAGAAACAGCATTAAAGATAGCTACTTCTTTATCTCTTCTTTTATTTTTATCTAAAGTATTTGGAAAATTATATTGTTCTTGAACAATTTCATTTATTTCTTTGCCATTAAGACGAGTACTGGCAATAGAAAGATGTGCAAGAGTATTTTTTGATTTTTTAGAAGGAAGTTTTACTGTAACTGAATTACCAAGAACAACTAATAATCCAATTATACATGCATTAGAAATTCTTTCTCTATCAACGGAAAGATTTCTGTAAACTGATTGAAGTTTAGAAGAAGTATTATTGACTTTGGTCATAATGATGATTTTAAATCTTCCTATTAATGAGATGAAAGTCTGAGTGTTTTCAAATTGAATTCAAAAATTATGTAGATTCTATGTGACAATAAGTTAAATGAAAAAAAACCAATTTTAATCAACTCTTCTATATTAAAAAGTCTATTAATTGGTTTCTTGTTGTTTTTTTTTATAATGGAATTTTTTCTATTTTTGAAACTAATTTTAACTTTTTTGTGATTCTTGAATTTATTTGGTTTTATTACTAATGTCTTATACATTATATAAACTAACACTATTCTGTCAAACAGCTATTCTGTAGGGGGTGGGGTTTGTTTCTCTTCAAAATTCTTAAATTACTTTTCTTTTCCCTACAAAATAACTTATATTTTTTCTTACTTTCTCAACAAAAAGAATCTTTTAAATCTTCATTGCTTTTGAAGTTTTTTTATTATACAGTTTTGAACATTAATTTTTAATCAAACATAAATATAAAAATCATTAAATCAGTTTTTTAAAAAAAATTTCTTCTTAAACTAAATTTTATTTTAATTTGAATAAAGGTTATTTTTGAATTTATTAAATATACAAAACGTGACATTTAAAGAGATTTTTTTTGTTATAAATAATATGTTTTTTATTTTACAAACAAAGAGTTGAACAAAGGTACAAATAATAACAATAATAAAGTATTTTTATTTTTTGTTTTTTTAGAGACGAGAATATCAAAATAAAAGATAAAATTACTTTTATTATTTTATTTTTAGTTATTCTGATTTTATAATTTTATATTGACATTAAAAATAAATTTAATTCATAGAATGTCTTTTAGATGGACATTTAATTGGAGTATTTATCTAACTTATTAATTATTAGTTAAAAAATTTATTTAATAAAAACAAACAATATTCATTAATTCTATTGTTTCTAATTCACAAAATGGTGCATTATTTTTTGAAGGTGGATGTTCATAATTGAAAAACAGTGGATGTTCATCAACAGTAAAATAGTTTTCATCAAATATAATTGTTTGTACGCCTAATTCTTTTCCATGAAGTGGTACTCCACGAATAGAAGTAAACACACAACCATTGTGTTTGTCACATGGCCGTTGTATAAAATAATCAGGGTGATTTGTTTGTAAGTCAGCGTTGAAAGAAAGAGGAAGAAAACAACAAGTACTATTTCCATTAAAATTGTATTGACCTATTTGTTTCATTACAAATTATTCAATTTAAAATCTTTTTTGTTTTTAAAAAATAATAAAATTAATAATAAAATTAATTATAATATTTATAATATAAAAAAAACAAAAAAAAAATTATAAAAGTGTCATTCAATGAACAAAAAACCTAGTGATTCTAAAGCTCCTAAAGTACAAGAAGAAAAGGTTGGTATAGCAATACAACAAAAGCCTAAAATAAAAACAATAAAAGAAATAAAAAATGACAAAAGAAAAGAGGTTCTTTTAAAAGGTAGAGAACAAAAAGTAAGAGCAGAAAATTACTTACAACCAGAAGAAACTAAACAATCAGGTTATATGGATTATAATATTTCAGATGTTCTTCCATATCTAGACCAACAAACTAAAGCAAAAATATTTTCATTACAATTAGAGTATGGCCCTTATTCAACTAATTTTACAGGTAATGGTGTTCATTTAGGTATTTGTGGTAGAAAAGGTCATATTGGAATTCTTGAATGGAAAACACAAAAATTAATAAATGAATTTCATGTTGGAGAACAATGCTATGGGATGCATTTTTTCCATACATTTAAATTATTTGCTGTAGCCCAAGAAAAAAGACTTCATATTTATGATGATAAAGCAACTGATATCCATTCATTATTTGATTTTCCTAAACCTCGTCAAATAGATTTCTTACCATATCATTTCTTACTTTCTGTTAATTGTGTAGAATCAAAACCTAAATTAAAATATCTTGATATATCTACAGGTGAATTAGCTGCTCAACACCCACTTTCTAGTTTAACAACAACAATGATTCAAAATCCATATAATGCAGTTATTATTAATGGACATGTAACTGGTGCAATTACTATGTGGACACCAAATATGGCTAATGCTGTTGTTGGGTTAGGATTCCATAAAGCAGCCATTACAGGTTTAGCTGTAACTCGAGATGGAAAATATCTTGCTTCATCAAGTGAAGATGGAACTTTAAGATTTACAGACTTAAGAATGATGGTAGAAGATACTCACATGACTATGACTGGATTTAGTGATGTAACTTCATTAAATTATTCTCAAAGAAATTTGTTAGCAGTTGGAAGAGGAAATATTGTTGAAATATTTGATGAAAAACTTAATAAAATTAATGTACAACGTCCTGGAGAAACACATCGTGATATGATTACTTCTTGTGAGTTTTGTCCATTTGAAGATTTTATTGCAATTGGTAGATATAATGGAGTATCTACTATTCCAATTCCAGGTTCAGGTAGTGCTGTTATTGATACATTTGAAAATAATATTTATGAATCACAAAAGAGTTATAAAGAGAGTGAAATTCAGAAATTACTTGATAAGATTCCTGCTGATATGATTACATTGAATCCTAATCTTATTGGTCATGTTGTAGAGAAAGATCACTTGAAGATTAGAGAAGAATTCCTTGAAGGACTAAAGGATGAAGCTGCTAAAACTTCTAAAGTAAAACAACACCGTCGGGAAGTTCTTAAGAAAAGAATGGAGTTATTTGCACCAAAAACAAGAGCAAAACCAAAAAGAGCTGATAAGAAAAAACCACAAATAAAACCAATAGCAGAAAGGAGTGCATTAGACTTGTTTCGTTGATTGAATTGTTGAGTGGTGCTTTATTATTTTTTAATATATTATATTTTTATAATATTTTATTAATAAAGTATAGTAATTAAATAGATAAACTATACTTTTATATGAAAAATTAAATTAAAGTTTTTATTAAAACTTGAAAATCATTTAGACTTTTAAGAATGCAACAAACGTATCAAATTTTCAATAACTATATCACATTTAGAGGTGATGAGGTTATTAACCTTTTACAAAAAGACGATATATCTAAGTGTGAAGCTTTACAACAATTAATTTCTGCAGAATTAGATGGAGAACAACACACAGATATGGTAATGAATGTTATCAGTTATGCATTACCATCAACTAACCATACTGTAAAGAGATTATTTTTAATGTATTTATCATGTATTAAACGTGTTGATGAACAAGGGAAATTATTATCAGAATTAGTTCTTGTTATTAATTCATTACAAAATGATTTAAATCATCCAAATGAATATATTCGTGCTTTAACTTTAAAATTTATTTTAACTATTTCAGAAAAAGAACTTATTCAACCACTTACTCATGCAGTAATTAGTAATGTTAATTCAAAAAGTCCTCTTGTTCGTAAACATTGTTTTTCTGCTATTTGTCATATTTATAGATTATATCCAGATTTAATTCCAAATGCTTCAAAATTAATTTATACTGCAGTTAATGAAGAAAGTATTACTTCAGTAAAGTGTAGTGCTTTAAGAGCATTAATGTATGTCGATTTATCTGCTGCAGTACATTATGTAATTAAAAAGTCAGAACAAATAAGTACATATAAAGAAGATATTCAGCTTGAGTTATTACATCTTATTAAATCTGTTTCCCGTTCTACTCCAGATAATTACACAACTTATCTTTCTATTTGTGCTTCTTTAATTCAAAGTCCATCAGCCGCTATTTCATTAGAGGCATCACTTTGTATGTTAGTTGTTTCATCTTCACCTTCAGTAGTAAAATCAGCTATTAAGAGTTTGATTGATATCGTTGTGAAATCAAGTGATATTAACGTTAAAATTTCTGTTCTTCAAAGAATAGAACAACAAATTCATAAAACACCAAGATTAATGAATGAGTTGGAAATTGATATGTTAAGAGGATTTCAATGTACTAGTTCATATGTTCGATCTAAGGTTGCAGAAATCGTTGTTAAATGTGTTACTTCTAAAACCGTTAATGAGGTTATTAATACTTTAAGAAAAGAGTTACAAAGAGAAGAAGATGAACAATATCAATTGGCTATACTTCAAGCTATTAAAGAATGTAATAATAAATTTACTTGTGAATCTATTGTTCCTGTATTATTAGATGTAATGCAAACAACTAACTCTATTTCTGTTTCTAAAGAGATTTTATTATTTGTCAGAAATATTTTGTTAAATTCAAATAATACAACTAATAACAATTCTTTTATATTACAGTCATTATATGATATTATTCATTCTATCACAACACCTCAACTTCTTGTAGAAATTATATGGATTCTTTCTCGATTTTCATGCACTAAAGAAGAAATTTTAACAAGTTTTAATAAATTATATGAACTAATGTTTAACAATGAAGGAAAAAATATATTATTACAAGAAGATAATGGTAATATCCTTTCTGGAACTTATATCTCTTCTATTGTTAAATTAGTTTTGAAAGGAAATTCTATATTTGAACAAACAAAAAAAAATGAAATTACTGCTAAAGGATTACAATGTTTATTAAAATTATTAAAAACACAAAAAAGTAGTGATTTAATTGGAAAAATTAGACAAGGTATTACTTGTATAACTTCAAAAGATGAGAAGTTAACTAAAGCAGCATTAGCTGAGCCTGAAATAAAAAAAGAAGTTATTGTCATAAAGAAGGATATTATTCAAGTTGATGATGAATTAAGTTTTGGTATGTTTAATGAAGAAAATGAAATACCAACTATTACAGAAAATGAAGAAAAGAGTTTAATGACATTTAGAAATATTATTCAATTAAGTGGGTATTCTGATCCTTTATACGTTGAAGCAAGTTTAGAATTATCTCAATTTGATATTGGTATAGATACACTTATTGTCAATCAGTCTCAAAGTACTTTACAAAATATTATGATTCAATTAGTCCCTCGTTCTGATGGACTCGAAGTTATTGGACAACAACAACCACTCACCCTTGGAGCTGGAGAATTCACTAGAGTTACTATTCCTGTTCGTGTCACTGGTACATCATCTGGTTTAATTGCTGGGTATATTAATTATGACCGTGTAGGTAGAGAAATTACTACTGGAAGTAGTGACAATCATATGGTTCTCAATAACATCAGTGTTGAGGCATTAGACAGTATTAAACCTGCTGATATTAGCCAAGACATCTTCCAAAAGAAGTGGATGGGATATGAATGGGAAAATAAAATTATTGTTGAAACAGACATCACTGATCTTGTTCAATTTATTGAACATTTGTGCAAAGAAACACACATGAATTGTGTTACTCCAAGGTCTTTGTTCTGTAGCGAGATTGGATTTTTATCAGCTAACCTATATGCCACAACAGTCTTTGGAGATGATGCTCTTGCTAATATTTCTATTGAAATAAATAATGGGAAGATTGGTGGTTGTATTAGAATCAGAGCAAAAAGTCAAGGTGTAGCTCTTTCATTGGGTGATAAGATTTTGATGATTCAAAAACAACAAAATTAAAGGTAAATGTGTTATTTAAATAACCATTTTTTTCTAAACTTATGTTTTCTTTTGGGGTGGTATTTTTGTTAAGTAAATTTTAAGATTTTTCAAAAAAAAAGAAGAAAAATCTTAATTACTCAATAGATACTGATTTTTTAGAAAAATTTAAGATTTTCTTGTTAAAAATTTATCATCTAGTTTCTTTTTTAATTTGATAAAAATTTTTTACTGAGGATGAAGAATAAAAATCTTAGAAAAAAAAGGTAAAAAAAATCCCAGTATAATATAAAGAGTATGGAAGAAAAAAAATTCGAATAAATTATTTATCTTACTCAAATAAGATGGATCTTTAGAACTATTATTCTAAATATCCATAAACTTAATTCCAAAATAAGATTTCCCGATGAAAAGAACAGCAAAGTGGCTGATAAAAAACAAAAATTAAATTTTTGTGATAGGCTGATAATCCTGAAAGGAGAGAAGTAATCAGGCCGAGTAACATGATAAATCCAAACCTAAAATAACCCCCCAAATACGGAATCCCAATTAGAATCAAATAGAGCACCTATCTCAGTGATTATAATTAAAGAACCATTATTTGGGTCATTTTTTTCTCTTTGGAAAAAATTAAAAAGTATATTTAAAGGAGTAAAGAACTTAAAATTAACAGTCTTTAATTACTTAAGAATTATATGGAGTTTAAGGATAAACCCCAACCTATTGAAATGAAATGGTACGTCAAAACACCTGCCAAAAGAAATAAAAATAAAGATACATTGGCAAAGTTATGGCAAGATAAAATTGATCAGTTAAGAAATAATGCACCAAAAGGAAGTATCAAAGCTTTAGTTGATTTCTATCAAGAGAATAACAGAGACCAAAACTATCTTCCAGTAAAAATATGTTTTGCGTTATACGGTCTTTTAACTAAATACCAAACTAAACAACGAAATGGATTTACGTCAGTATGTACTCCTATTTCAGAAGAAAGTCTTGAAGTATTCTGTTTTATGATTCAAACTGATCGTAGTTTTCAAGATATTATTGAAACAATGAATATTTCAACTATTTGTCATGATTTCCAATTTAATTTACATTTAGCTAATGAAGATGAAAATGTTCGTGCAATGATGACTACTATCGTTCTCTTTCTTTCTCAAAACTATTATAAATTTAGTAACTGGAGAGAATACATCAAACCAAAATATCATTGTATTATTGAAGAACCTGCTAATGAAGCTCAACAAGAAGAAATACCAGAAGGTCGTTTTAGTAAAGATGCATATCTTCCAACTGAAGGACACTTCTATGATGTAGATGTTCAAACTATTCTTACAACATTTAGAACTGATTTAGAAAAAGGGTTATCTTCAATGGAAATAGATCAAAGAAGAGAAAAGTATGGAACAAATGAATTACCAAAACCTCCTAAAGTGAATGTATTTAAGATGTTATGGAATCAAATTACTGATTTTATTGTTATGGTATTAATAGTTGGTACAATTGTTTCTCTTTGTATTGAAGAATGGATTGCTGCTGGAATGCTTATTGTTGTTATTGTATCTAACATTGTCATTGGATTTACTCAAGAGTTTAAAGCAGAACGTGCATTAGAGGCTTTAGAAAATGCTGATGTTATTCATGTTAATGTAATAAGAGAAGGAGTAACGGATATAATTACAGCAGACCAATTAGTTCCAGGAGATGTTGTTGTATTAGAAGAAGGAAATACTGTCCCAGCTGATCTTCGTTTATGTCAAACTCATCACTTAGAAGTTGTTGAAGTTCTTTTAACAGGAGAGATGAATCCAATTGAAAAGAGTACTGATCTTATTAAAACGCCTAATGTTCCAGTTGGAGATAGAAAGAATATTGCATTTATGTCAACCAGTGTAGTTAAAGGAAGAGGAGTTGGAGTTGTTGTTGCTACAGGTAAAGTAACAGAGATTGGTAAAATTTCAAGTGAATTAAATAAAAAAATTGATAAAACAATGCCATTAAAGAGAAAATTAGCAAATTTAGGAAAATGGCTTGTATTATTAGCTGGTATTTTATGTTTAATAGTTGTAGGATTATTAGTTTTATGGTTATTCATTAAAAATGGAAGTATGACATGGGACGATACAGTTAGTATTATCAAAATTGGATTAAGTTTAGCTGTTTCAGTTATTCCAGAAGGACTTGTTGCTGTAGTTACTATTACTATGTCTATTGGAGTTAGTAGAATGAGTAAACAACATGTTATTATTAGAAATTTACCAGTTGTAGAAGGGCTTGGATCTGTTACTACTATTTGTACAGATAAAACAGGAACATTAACACAAGGTAGAATGACTATGACAGAAATTCGGCAAGGACCAAATTTATATAATTTTAAGACTATTAATGGTCAGTTTAAGATTTATAATTCAATTGATAGTGAAATATCTCAAATTCCTAGTGAATCTATTGATATTTTAAATGTTTGTGCAATGTGTAACAATAGCTCTACTAAAGTTAATGAAAAAGGAGAAACTGAAATGATTGGAGACCCAACTGAAATTGCTTTATATAATTGTGCTCTTCATTGTGGTATTACAAAAAGTAATTATGTTAATAATGGAAATATATTTGTTACTGAAGTTCCATTTGATAGTGACAGAAAGAGAATGAGTGTTCTTTATAAAGATAATAATAATAATGGAACTATATTTGCTAAAGGAGCATGTGAATCTATATTATCAATTTGTTCTTCTAATTTTGACGGTAAACCATTAAACCAAGATATTTTAAAAGACATTGAAAATCAAATGAATTCTATGGCACAAAATGGAAGTAGAGTTCTTGCATGTGCTATTGGTAAAATTAATATGAACATTACACCTATTACTGAAGATAATAACACTGATATAGAAAATAGATTAATGTTTCTTGGTTTAGTTGGTATTGTAGATCCTCCACGAAATGAAAGTGCTTTAGCTGTTAAAGCACTTAAACAAGCTGGTATTCAAGTTAGAATTATTACTGGTGATCATCCAAAAACTGCAGGTGCCATTGCTAAACAAATTGGAGTTATAGATCCAGAAGATGACGTCGATCAATATATCATGACTGGTAATGAATTACTTGGTATGAGTGAAAAAGCTTTAGCTGAACGTGAACCATTTCCAAGTGTTTTTGCACGTGTATCTCCAGAAGATAAACTTACTGTTGTTAAAGCATTAAAAAGAAGAGGAGAGGTTGTTGCTATGACTGGAGATGGAGTTAATGATGCTCCTGCTATTAAATCATCTAACATCGGTATTGCTATGGGAAGTGGAACTGATTTGACAAAGCAATCTGCTGATATTGTTCTATTGGATGATAACTTTTATAACATTGTTTCTACAATTAAAGAAGGAAGGAGAGTATTTGATAATATAATGAAATTTGTCATGTATTTATTAAGTGCTAATTCTGCAGAAATTTGGACTATGATGATTTGTGTTGCATGCGGTCAAACACCACCATTTTCTGCAATGATGATTCTTTGGGCAAATTTAGTTGTTGATATTCCACCATCAATTTGTCTTGGACTTGATCCTCCAATGAGTAATATTATGGAAAGAAAACCAAGAGACCCAAATAGTAATATATTCAATTGGAAGAAAGCTTTAATTGTGTTATTCCAAGGAATGACTATGGCTATTATTTCAATTTCACTCTTCTTTATGACACTTTACATTAAGCCATTGGCTGAATTTGGAGGATATGATATGCCAACAGGAATGACTGATGAACGTCCAAATCATAGTAGAACTCTTGCATTCATTTCATTGTCTGTAATTCAGTTATTCCATTCTTTCATTAGTAAATCAATCACCGGTCCTACAATTTCAAAAGATATGTTTGGTAATAAATATTTATTAGTTGGACTTGTTGTATCTGTTTTATTCCTTGTTGCTGGTATTTATATCCCTTATTTCAATGACATTATTGAACAATATCCATTAAAGTGGTTAGATTGGTTATTAATTCTTGTTGCTGTTCTTGTCCATTTTGTTATTTGTGAAACAGTAAAATTAGTTTTAAGAATTGCTTCAAAGAAACGAGAGTCTAAATACGTTTTATTCCATGATGATCTCTAAAAGCTAAAATACAAAACTTAACTGACAATTATTTTAATTAATTATTCTTTTATTTTAACAAAAAAGAAAAACAATAAGAAAATAAAAACCAAATAAAATTTAAATAAGATTAAAAATGTTTTTTATTCAACCATTTTAATAAATTCTTTAATAGCACGAATAAATTTTCTAATATCACCAATTGTTGTTGGGTATCCAATAGATACTCTAATAGCACCGTATTGTTTTCCTTCTAATGTAGTATCAACTGGAGTATTTGGATTAGTCACAGCAGCTGCTGCAAGACTAGTAACATTTAATGAATTTAAGCAACTTCCTGGATTACAAGTACACCCAACTCTAACGTGAATATTCTTTTTTGCTAAGAACTCATTTACTGTTAATAATGGAACATGTTTAGGGAATACACCATTATATTTATATTTACTATTTAAAATATTAAATGTAACGATAGGGCCTTGATTTTCATAAGTAGAATGGTTATGATTTCCATAAATTTCTATTGCTTTAGTACCATTAGAATATGTTAATTTATTTAATTCAGTAAATAATACACGAGTAAGAGCATATGTATGTTTATGAATAATATCAATATTTGGGAAATGATTAAAAGCATGTTTTAGTCCAAGAATTCCAAGGAAATTTAGTGTTCCAGCTTCATATTTTGGAGGTAAATAATCTGGGAATACTTTCCAATCTCTATCAGCAGCAGCCATAACTACAGTTCCTCCACCAAAATAAGAAATTTTTAATTCTTTGGCAACTTCTTTTTTAACAATTAAACACCCAACTCCTGTTGGGAATCCAAACATCTTATAAAAACTAATTGAGACAAAATCTGGATGGTATTTAGTTAAATCAAGTTTTGCACTTGGAACTAAAGCAGCAGCATCTAATAATACATGGAATTTATGTTTATTATTTGATAAGGAATTAATTTTACAAATCCAATCTAATGGGAATTTTGCACCATTAAAATTATCTTCTCCTGGGAAAGCAATTAAGTGATGGGTAACGTTAGTAGTTTGTAATTTATTTAATTTGTCTAATACACTTCTCCATTGTTGTTCTGGATCTTCTTCTGTGAAATATCCCCATGTAGCATTAGCGTTACTAGCATATTCTCTAATTCCTAATACGCTGTTATGATTTTGTAAGAGATATAAAAAAACACTTGCTGGAGTAAATGGGAAATTTTCTCCAACAATTTTTAATGCCTCAGTGGCACCACTAGTAAATATAACGTCATATTCTTTTGGATTTGCATTGAAATATTTTAATATTCTTTTTCTCATTTGTTTAACTACGGTATCGGTGTTTATTGATGATGGAGAAATACTATGAGCATTGCCATACAATTTTTTTGAAACATCATAATAGAAGTCTTTTAATTGTGACACCTGATGAAGTCCACTGGCTGTGTAGTCAAGATATACATTATTTTCGAGATAAGGGAATTCTCTTCTAACTCTTTTTACACCATTCCAATAACCAAGTTCAGTTAAAGAAACTGCAGAACACAAAGTAATGAATAATAATAACATCGATAGTATAAGCTTTTTAAGTTCATTTTTATTTTTTTTTCAGAGTATTGATTTTAATAATTTTACTATAATAAATTAATAAAAAACGAGTTAATCAGAATATTCTTAAAATTAAAAATTTTTAAATGAAATTTAAAGTTCTAACTCATTACTTCTTCGTTGTGATGGTATAAACCAATCAAATACTGTAGGTCCCATAGTTTCTTTAATATTATTAAATACACCCCTGTTATAAGATGGAATATTTTCAAAAACAAGATCTCGTTTTCCTTTATTAACTTTCAATAATCTTGCAATTTCAATAGATTCCATAGAAGTCTCGTTGTGCATAATTGCTATGAGGTAATTTATTAACAGTACTAACATCCCTGCAAATAAGGCTAATCCAATTGCCATTCCTACAGCCGATGGAACAATTAACGTAATTATTGACCAATTAAATGATCCATGTAATAAATCATAATGTATAACAGCATGAAAGATTGAAAATCCATTTATAACTGAAGCAAGCAATAGTGCTAATGACGCATAAAATATAAATTGAACAAAAAATTTCATATTATTTTTTCCAATACAGTTTGAAACCCATGGGCAATGGTGATCTCGTTTTTCAATACAATAACCACATTTTTTACAATGATAAGATCGTGGAGGTCGAAATTTTTTACATTTACTACACCATCTGACACGATAACAAATGTCACAAGTTTTACAACCACTACGATTTCCTTTTTTCACTCTTTCAATAGCTTCATTTAATTCTTGTTGTGAGGCAACAGGTATATAATTTTGTACAATACCAGGAGATGTATGTATAACTTTATAATGACAATACGTTAATAAAATGAAGAGCATTAGCCCAATCAAATCTCCAATAGTAATGACCAAATTGTTTCCAAAATATGTTTGTACTGTTCCTATCGTAGTAAGTACAAATACTCCATACATTAATACTTTTGATACAACTATATATACAGTGTCTGGTGCTTCAATTTCTTCAATATCATATCCTTCAGAACATTTAGGTTTAGGATTTGGATAATAATAATCAATGTCCTCTATCATTATTATCTATTTATCCTTTTGAAGTTAGTTTCTCTTTTTTCTCTTTAGAAACTTCTTTTTTGTTAAAAATTGTTTTGACGTTTGATCTTCAAAAGATTGAATCTCATAATTTTTAATCAATTAATATGAAGTTGATCACACCCTGTGAAACAACCTGCACCTATTGTACATATGTCATAAGGAAGATTCATTTCCTTTAATGAAGGGCATTCTTCAAAACAATAATCACCAATATATTGTAACTCATTGGGACATTCCACCTTTGTTAAAGAAGAGCATTCACAAAAACAGTACTTTGGAAGAATTAATACACTAGAAGGAATTTTGATGGTCATTAATTGAACGCATCCACAGAAACACTCATTGTTGATTAATGTTAGTGTAGTTGGTAATTGAATTGAAGTTAAATGAATACAATTTTTAAAAGCACTTATCCCAATTGATTCTACAGATTCAAATTGAATTGAAGACAAAGAAAGACATTCCTCAAAGCTACTATCTCCAATTTTAATGATTGTGCTTGGTATATGAATCGATGATAACATTGAACAATTACTAAAACAATCATTTGGTATTGAAGTGATCTGAGTAGATAATTTGATTTCTTGTAAACTTGTACAAGATTCAAAACAACCTCCCCCTAAATATGTTATTGAATTAGGGATGTATAAACTTGTTAAATGTTTACATTCACTAAAACAACCATCCCCTATTGATTTTAATGTAGATGGTAATTTAATATGTTCTAGTGATTTACAACCATTAAAACAATCATCTCCAATTTTTTGTAACCCTGTTGAAAAATAAATTGTATGAAGATTTTTACATCCACTAAAACAATTATCTCCTATAGAAGTTAAAGAAGTGGATAATATTACACGTTCCAAATTTGTACATTCAATACAACAACAATTACCAAGAGTATTTACAGTTTGAGGTAGAACTAACTCTATTAGTTGTTCATTATTTTCATAACAAGATTCATCTAGTTTTTTAATTGATAAATCCCTTGGTATTTCTTCTCCGTATTGATCCACATCATCGTATGTGTAAATTACATTAGTACAAGTGATCATTTTTTCTTTTAATATTACGGCAGTAGAATAAGGTAATTCATAACAAAAAACAAAATAATGAATATCTGGAAGTAATTTATCTTTATCTGAATACAAAAATTGAATTTGAATATTAGGAAATAATCTTGTTGATGAGATAGGATTAAATATGAATGATTCTAACACTTCTTGATATGATGAACGTATTTGAATAAATTTAATAAAATCTTCCTCACTTTGAAAATAACGAGAGATTGCAACTAATTCATCTACTCCAAAATAAGTTCCTATTTGCTTAATACTTTCATCGTCTGACCATTCATCATCAATAAATTGTGGATGAGTTGTTTCCATATTTTCAAAGAACTCTATTTTCAGTTTTCATTTTTATTTGTTTAAAATTGTAAAACAGTTTGAATTTACTAAAATTCTCAAATATTAAAAGTTATTTTAATAATATTTTATTCATGAAATATCAACTTAGTTTATATGAATATTTTATTTAATATTTTATTTAATATTTTATAGTTCTATTTCAAATCAAAATAAAAAGAAATAATTATAAATATTTTTTTATATTTTTTTACTGAGTAATTTAACAGAATGTTAAAATATCGTCTTATTCATTTTTAAGAAATAAACTTTAATTTAAAATGATATAAAATATATTTTTATATTCTAACAAAAGAGTTTCAAACAAAACAAAAGTTTACGATGTTTAATTCTTAAAAGGTGATTTTTTGCTATTACTATTTGTTTTGTAATTTTTTATCACTGAAGAGTTTAAAACATACCCATGGCTTTGATACTCATTAAAAACTATCTCCTTTTTAAGCGTTTTATTTGCTAGACTTTTGTGTTACATTAATGTGTTATTTTACTTCTTATCTATTTTGAAATTAGAGCCTTGAGGAATAAAATACTACATTTACCAATTCATTTTATAACAAAAATTTTAAAAACAACTCACTTAATAATGAAAGGAATATTTCAACTCAATTGGATACAAAACATACAAATTTTTGAAGTAATTTTTTTATTCTTCTTATAAAAAAGAAATAAAGAATAAGTAAAATTATATGATATAAACCAATTTCTCTATTCAATCAGATATTGACTATTATGTTTCTAACAAATTATTGTATTTATAAGTTCAATTATTAATTTTAAATTTAATTCTCTCAACAAAAGGAACAAAAAAAAATATAAAATCCAAACAAATAGAATTTAAATATCAAAAACAAAGAAAATTAAAGTTATATTAAAAAATTATGATAAAACCTAAATAGAAATGTTTAATTAGTTTTGAAAACTATCTTCATTTTCGTCTGGTGGTAATTCAACAAATTTAATATTCCAAGGAGAATACTTAGTGAGTATATCAGCTTCAAGAACTCCATCTTCAGTCATATAAAGTAGATTTGGTTTCCAAACAATGACCATTTTTGGGTCAATTGCTTTGTACCAAAACCTACAACAAATTTGAATATTTGGATTTGCTTTAATACTTTTTATTAAATTTAATTTATCGATCTCTTCTTTTCTTTTACAAATAATTATCATTTTATCAATATGAAATTCATTAAATGAGTTAAATATTGTTGGCTCAATATCAGCAGCCATTTTAAATGTAATTACTAAAGTTTTAATTTTTAATTGTTTACTAATTACTTTATGTAATTCTACTCTATATATATCATATATTATCAAATGTAAATAATCAAATTCTTTAAATGGATCTAATGAAATTATTTGACTTCTATCTTCAACACAAGTCAAAGTATATTTAATAGTTACTCTTTGTATTGGTTTTATCATATTATTTTTAATAAAAAAATTTATTATTTTTGATGTAACAGGAGGAAGAATAATAGGTGTCATAATTGTTGGTAATAATTGCGTTGTTGTTTTTGTAAGTAATGTAATTTTTCTATTCTTAAATAAAGATAATTCTTGACCAAATCTTTTTTCTATTACCTCTTCTTCATTTTCTTCATTTAATTGAACTTTAATTTCTTCTGGTATTTGAACCGTTAACAAATATCCTACATTCTTTTCATGTAAATCAAATGATTTTTGAGTATTCTTACTAACCATATAATAATTCTTTGCAGTAAAAATATCTTCAAGAAATGGAATTAACTGTGTTAATTCCTCAATGGATAGATGGTTCATTGGAGAATTGATATATACAAATATAGTGTTTTTAGTTCTTATTATTTTTCGTTTTTTCAAAAAGTAATTCGTTAAAAAAGAAGAACTTTTTTTATTTAACAATAATTTATTAATTTGTCATCACCCCAATTAATCTGAAGAACATTTTTTTGATAAAGAAAAGTAATGAAAAAAAAATTTTATAATCAACCAAAGTTACAATACTAAGAAAACGTGCTTTTTCTTCTTGAAAAGACCATATATCGAATTTGTTTATCTGGTGTATCATCACTAACCTGTCCTTGTAAAGGTGTGTTTGTAATACCGGAAATAGATTGACTGATATTTTTGTCTTGTTTATTTGAATTATTTGTTGTAGTTGAACCAAATGTTGTCGTTGTATGAGGATCATAGCTAGGACTCATAGTATCTCCTTTCCTCTTTCCACCAACTTCTTGATCAGACGATTCAGACATTCTTCTTTTTTGAGCAGCAAGAGAGAATTTTTTTACAAAAGACGACCTAGGAATAGACCCCATAGAACAGAAACTCATTTTCATTAATTTGTGTGTTCTAAGGTAGTCAGAAAATATTTTAAATACTTCGTTTGCTCTACTTGAATCAATTAACTCAGGAGATACTTCCATTCTTAATTCTTGAAGATAATTTTGTGCATCATCAATAATTTCTACATTTCCTTCTTCGTTAACTAGTATTTCAAAGATACTAGAAATAAGTGATGGTATAATTCCATCATTTGAATTACAAACATATTTGTGCACAATGATTGGAACTATTTTATTTCTTATTATCGATATATCAGACACTCCACTACTTTTTTCAAGTATTTTCTTTAAACAATGAAGAATTGCTGTTTCTAAAACTTCATTAGAACAGTTTATCCAAGTCTCCACAACTTGAATAAACTTACTTTCTGTTTCAAAGTAAATTTCACAATATTCAGAATGATAAATAAATAAATATCCAATGATTTCAAATAACTGAGTCACTAAAGAATCAAAGTTATTAATTCCTCTTTCCATTTTTACTTGTTCTCTTAATTTAGATGTTACAACTGATGGAAATAATTGTAATGGACGGGCTAATATTGGTACTAATTGGGAATAAATTAATGAAGAATTAATTCTTTTTTCTTCTACTGAAAAATCAGATGAATCACATTTTAATAAATAAATAATATGATGGGATATATTCATTATTAATGAACGATGATCTTCTTTAATAAATTGACTACAAATAACAACAATAGGAATTACATCTTCTCCATTAATTGAAATAGTTGAATATATAGCACGGGTACATTCAAAAGAGTCCATTACAAACATATCAGTTAATAAATCTACTGCTTTAGATCTTATGAAATAGTCAGCATTAGAATATCCTTGAATTGTAATAGAAAATATATTCATCTTTTTAATTTCATCAAATGTCAATTTAGTATTTTCTAAAGAAGAACTCACAGAACCACTATAAATTTTTAATATTGAAGAAAAAAATGATAGTACTTGACTTTTTATATCTGAATTTCCATCTTCAAAAGCTTGTTTAATGTTATTCATAAAAGAATAATTATCTCTCATTAATTTTACAACACTGAGTCTAGTATTATTAATATACCAAGTAAAATATCTTGAAGAAGCCTCATCTAAGAATCTTGCAACAACAACATCTCTTAAATAATTAAGTTTAACTATATATTTTAGTTTTTTAATAATAATGGGAGGATAAAGAATAATTTGTTTAATTTGTACTTTTTCACTATCTTCCCAGAAATTAATTTGTTTTTCTAAATTAGGGTCTCGTTGATAAATGTCAAATAATTGATATAACGTTTCTTCTTTGAGTAGATGATCATATACACATTCATTATTAATAGAAAAACATGCTCTATAGATATCTAATATTGTTTGAATTCGTTGTTTTTTTTCAAGATAAGCTTCAATATATCTTTTACATTCATTTCCGTATTGTTTAATTTGTTCATACAATTGAGACTCTTCGTTATCTCTTTTTGTTTGACCAATTTGTTCAGAACTAATTCTTTCTTTGGATAATTTAACTTCGTTTTTGATTTTTTCTGCAGTTTGTTTGTCACTAATATATTTCTCAATTGATACATCAATATTTAAAAGTCTCAAATATTCTTTATATGTACATTTAAATAGTGTATTGTTGTGGTCAAACAAAGAAAGAAATTGTTGAGTGAGAGGACCATTATCAATTGCCATAACAGCAAATCCTCTAAGATTTTCAAAAAGTTCTTTTGTTGGTTGAGAGAAATTATATACATATCCCTCAGGGTCTGTCACATTTGATCTTAGAGTACTTAACTCACTTGTTTGATTACTTTCATCTTCTGCAATACGTGAAAATGATCTAAGTTTAGAAACAAATAATTGGAATGGTGCATTCTCAGAACTACATAAAACGAGTTCTTGATGGTTTTGTAAATAAGGTATATTAGAACTATAACTTACATTAGAAATTTTAATATAACTTTCATTTAAACTTTCTTGCATGATAGAATTAGAATTATATGAAAAACTATAAGTTGCACTCCTAATAAAATCTTTAATTGTAACTGTGATAGACACCATAGAATCTTCATTGTATTGTATTGTTCCAGAACATATATCTAACAATCCATTTGGTTGATTTTCATCTGCCCAACTAGCAAAAATAGAAAATTGCTTTTGGGGATTCTCAACACTTAAGCGAAAAGCTTTTGCCTCTTCCTTTTGTTGAATCTCTTCCATTTTAGTTATTGGTAAAACTGGGTCTGGTGGTGGTCTATTAAATTTAATCCCTTTTAATACACTGTTTGTATTATTTGAAACACTACTTGGACGTGGTTGGTCATTCCATTCTAATGAAGATAAATGTGACGATTTTCCTACAATCGTCTTACGGTGGTTCATAAGTTCTTTCTATTTTTAAGTTCTAGATCTAACCAGTCAAAACCCGCTTGATGCCTCAACCACAACATATTATTGAATCATTAAATCTCCTCAATGATAGTAATAAATCATTAGACCAAATAAATGGAGGAATTATTCATTTAGTTTCTAGGTCTGATCTTTTTGGATTGTTAACTTCTTTATCAATATTACTTGACTCACAAGTATTAAGTCAACCACAATCCCTTTCTCTTTGTTATGTATTATCAAAACACTCTCCAATAACATCTAATCCTTTCTTCAAAGTGTTACGTAAAGAATATTTAAAGGCTGATGGTTTTGAAAAAAATTTTATTGCAACACTTTTTGAGAACTCTTGTCCATCTGAGGTTTGCCTCTTCTAAACTATATTTTATAATATTTTTTATTTACGACAATAGAAATCAATTAGTGAAATTCTTGCAAGTAATAAACTCCCAAGTACTTCTGTTGATTTAGATGTACTAACAACTGAATACCAAAAAAATGTTCCATATGACATCCCTTCAGTTCAACCTTTGTTTAGTGATCCCGATGATTCAACAAATAGAGAACGTGATATTGCTAAAATTTTTGAAACTCCATTACCTGGACCAATCACTCCACCTCAAAACACACCCGCTCCTTTATTGTTAATGCCAGGACATGATGAGCTTACTTTTCTTATCCCTGAAATTGATTTCTCCCCATTATTCGACCCAACACAAATATCTGCTGAAACGTTAACACTTCTTAAAAGAGCTGCCATAGAAAGACTTAGTGATGATGACAAAGACCAACTTATGGAACTTCTTGAAGAAGAAAATATTGCAAAATTCTTTGCTCCACAACAAATTGAAAGTCTTATTGAGAATAACAAAGATATCGCAGTTGAGGTATTAAAAAAAGTCATAAACAGTGAAAATGAAAAGGCCTATATTGACGCATTATCTTCTATAGAGCCTAAAATAAATGTTATTAGTACTGTAAAGGAATTATTGTTAAAATCTTCTAATGTCTTTTCTTCTTTCACTCAAAAAGTTATTGACTTTTCAGTTAAAGAAAAAGAGCCAAATAAAAGATACATTCGTTGTGTTACAGACTATCTAGAAACATACGTACGAGTTAATCCAAAATTATCTGAACCAGTTTATGAAAGCATAGTTACTTTTTGTGGCAAATTCAGTACTATCAAAGAAGTTTCTAATCTCTACAAATTATTAATGAAATAACAATTTTTATTTATCTATTGTGTTATTTTTAATTATAAAAATAGAATATGAAATAGGGTTAAAATGGATGGTAAAATATGTTAAGACTTAATTATTTTATTAAACGATATAATAAAATAAAAAACCACAATTATTTATTTAAAATTTAATATCAACAATAAAAGTATTTAATAATAATAATATTAGTCGAGTGACGATAAACCACAGACCTGTTCTGACTGAACTGGAGATAACAGTGCTAGCTCCAATTAGCGCTGGGGCTCTGACGACTTTTTAAAGATTAATAATTTTAATAAAAAAGAAAAAAAAATTTTTACAAAAATTTTTAATTAAGAAGTGAAAGGAAATTGAAATTAATCCACAACCAGAACAGCACCTTCTGTAGTTTGAGGAACATTCAAAGTTAATCCAAAAACTTTTGCCAAAGATACTTTGAATACATTTTGAATATTAATTCCTTGAGAAGAAGAACAAAAAACACAAGAAGCTTTCATTGCTTGAGCATATTTAAGTGCGGTAGCGGTTATTCTTGATTTTTCAGTAGCATCAAGGTCAGCAAATAAATCATATTTTGTTCCAACAAGAATACAACTTGCACTGTTGTTATGTGCACGAGCTTCTTTGTACCAATCTTTTATGTTATTTAATGTCATAACCCTAGTTAAATCAAAAAAGAATAAGATAACTCGAGCCCCATCCATAACCATTGGAAGCATTGTTATGTACTCACGTTGTCCTCCTAAATCCCATACGCTGAAAGTTACTTCTTTTCCTTTTAATGAAATTGTTTTTTCCATACAATTAACTCCTAATGTTTGGATATAATCCTCATCAAAATTACCTTCAACATACTTAACCATGAGCGATGTTTTACCAACTCCTGCATCACCTACCATTGCAATTTTTAATTTAATTTGTGACATCTAATATGATTATTGGAAGATAAATTTTAAAGTTCTTTTGCTTTTGAGACGTATTTTTCTTTAAGATTTTTTTATATTTATATTTTTTAAGAATTTTTTTTAAGAATTTTTTCTTAAAAAAAATTGTTGAATATAAAAAATAAATTAACTTCTTTTGTAAATTAAATTAAATTTAATTAATGAATCTCTTTGGATGTTTAAAACCTCATTTAAACAATGAAGAAATAATTAACGATAAAAGTACATCTAAAAGAAAGTGGAATGTTATTAAAGGATTTTTTATTGGGCAAACAATTAGTATTATTAATGCATCAACTTATGCAATGACTAATTATTTAGGTCAAAAATCCTCAAGTGGAACAGCTATTATACAAACAGTTAGTGTGTATTGGTCATTACCAATTATATTAATATTTGTGTCTTTAAAATATGGATCAAATTCAATTGTAGAATTTTTAAAATCAGTAAAATGGTATTATTGTCTTGGAATTACACTATGTGATATAACTGCAACATTTTGTCTTGTTATTGGTATTCAAAATACAAATATATTATCATCACAGCTTATTAGTGTTTGTAGTATTCCATTTGTTATGGTACTTTCATACTTTATTTTAAAACGAAGATTTAATTTAATTCAAATATTTTCAGCAGTAATCGCATTATCTGGATTTGTCCTTGTTTCTATTGAGGATAGTCAAAACGGTTCATCAGAATTAATAGGTGATTTACTCTGTCTTATCTCAACAATTTTATATGCTATTGCAAATACATTACAAGAAAAAACGGTCAATATCATTTCTCCATTTTCTTCAATGAATTATATTATAATTTTATCAGTTCATGCACCTCTTCTTTCACTCCCTACTTTACTCCTTTTATTTTTATTTCCTTTTGACTTTAATATATCAGCAATTGAATTAATATTATTAATATCTTATCCAATTCTTCAAATAATTATTTATGCGTCAATAGCTTATATTATTCTTATGACATCTGCAGCATTTTTTAATATTTCAAATCTTTCATCTTCGATTTATGGTTTAGTTTATGATATGATTTTATTTAATAAATATCCAGGTATCTTATCAATCATTGGTGCTTTATTGATTATTCTCTCAGTAGTATTTTATTCATTTATTGAATGTTTTTAGTAAAATTCTAATATTTTTATTAATACATTTAATTATTTTCTTTTCTTTTTCAATTTGTTTTGTGAAGGGAAAAACCTAAATTTAAACTAGAAAGGGACTAGATAAAGACAATAACAAAAATAGAAATCTAAAAGTAGAGAGCGGAATCTTAGAAAAACAAAAATGGCTGACGAAATACCAACAGACCGGTTTTGTTGTATTGTTGATTGCACAAACCAAGGTAATATCCCACTTAAAGAAGTTGAGGGAACATTTCAGATCAAAAATGAATTAGTCAATACACGTCCAATAAAATGGAAATTGTGCGATGTTCATTTTAACTCAGCCATAGAAAAAATGGGATGTTGTATTACAGGATGTAATGAAAAGGCTTCTACATTTACTCTCCCAGGATATGAAGTTCATCAGAAGGATGATAAAGTAGCACACAACCACATATGTCTTAAACACCATTTCCAAATGACCAAAAGTATTCTTAAACCAATTAAAAGAGAATCTGAAGAACCTGACCAAAAGGAATTACCATTAAAAAAAAGAAGTAATGACAATAGTGATACAATCACTGATGATACAATTACAACTGAATATCAAAATGGAACTATTGTTGAAAAAAAAAGTATTAAAAAAGAAATGATAGAAGATAGAAGTACTTTAAAATCAGAAGAATCTAAAAAAACAATAACTCCAATAAATCAAACTGAAAATAATAAAAGTACTCAAACAATTAATGATAAAAAAGGAAATTTTGATATAAAAAAATGTTGTTTCTCATATTGTAATGAAACTGCTATTGGAACACTCAAATTTATTCATCCACTTCAAATTCCTGTTTGTTGTACTCATCAAAAAATTATTACTAAATTACTTAGAAAAGCATTGTTAGATCAACAAATAGTTTTATCTACTTCAACTACTGAGATGATTGCTTCGTGTTCATCTATTCATTTTCATCCATTATCTAATTATAAAAAAACTGGAAATGATGGAAGATGTGCACTATGTTTTGGGTATAATAACAAGAAACCAATTTATATTTGTTCCTCTTGTAGTAATGTTTTTTGTGCAGAGTGCCAAAGAGTTATTGCTGACATAACTAAAACAAATATACAACAACCATCTACACACTGGAAATGTTGTGTTTGTTGTACAAAAGGAATAAGAGAACGAGAAGATGTATTAAGGAGAGAAGTTATTATTGTTAGAGAAGCAGCAAGTAAAAGGCTTAATGTTTTTATCCAGAAAGAAGGTAAACAAGTTCAAGAAAAAATACAACAAGAAAGAGAAAGAAGAATAGAAAAGATTGAAAAAAGAAAAAAACAAATTAAACGTATAATTAAATGGCTTGATACAATCTTTCCTAAAGCTGTTCAATTAAGATGGGCAATTACAGACTGTACTTTAGAAAATGGTTCAGGTGAAGGTTGTTTATTTGTATTTTCTAAAACTCAAACAAATTATTTTATTTCACATCAACCAATAACTGGAGAAACACTTATAGAAACGCTTTATTCTGTTGCTGGATCTACTAATAAAAGAGTCATTAAAGAAGTAGATAAAACTATTCCATTAGAAAAACTGTTACTTGTTCATAGTAAAGAATACGTTGATATTCTCAAAGAAATTTTTAATCAACAAGATGAAAGAACAACAACTATAAAACATTATCTCAATACATTCTTATCAGAACAATCATTCCAAAATACTCCTTGTTGTTTAGCAGCATTTTATCTTCGTGTTTCATTAGAAATAGCACAAGGAGTTTGTGAGTCATTAGAATTTCTTTCAAAAAATAAAAGTATTAAATTTGCATATATTTTTACAGGAGCAAAAGGTGGGGTTGTTCCTTATCAAGGGGTACTTGAAAAAAAAGAAGGAGGAAAAACAGAAGATAGTAAAATTGTAATTAAATTAACTCCTGATGTTAAAGTTAATGAACAAAGTAGGCCTATTGTTATGATTATGAAAAAAAATCCTATGGAATTTCCAAATGGTATACAAGCTAAAGTATCTGCTGACGTTATAACGTCTTCATATTTTATTAATTATATTGGATTAGGAGTAAAATATGTACTAAGAGTAATAGGAATAAAAAAAATTGCAGTTGTTGTGTTAGGAGAATTAGATACTGAAAGAGGAACAATAGAAATATTAAAGGAAGAAATTAAAAATAAAGAAGTTTTAATAGTAAAATCAGGAGAAGAATGGGTTGAAACAGCATTTAAATTAAGAATGTTTTCACCAGAAATACTATTTCTAAGTTTCCATTGTGAAATTTGTAATTCTAGTACTAGTGTTGATACTCGAGTTAAAAAAGTTGCAAAAGACATAATGAAAATGACAAAAATAACAAAAACTGATGATGTTGTTACATCGCCATGTCAAATAGTTACATTATTCCAACATGGAATAGTTCAAGATGTGAATTATGAAAAATATCGTTCAGCAATCAAATTATTTATTGAATCATTAAATAATGATTTTTAAGTTGTCTAAAAGAAGATTTAGACAAGTTGTATTCTTTTAAAGACATTTTTAATCCAATTTATTTGGTTCTATGTTGAATGGAATATAAAAAGCTTTTTATTGAATTTTTTTATGTTTATAACACGAACAAATAGAAAAGAACAAATGAATTCATTGGAACTTGTATCCACAACCGGCACAAAAACGAACTTCAGAATCTTTTCTTAATTCTCCACATTCAGGACAAACATCAGCAACCTTCCTATATTCTGCATTTATTCTTTCTGCATCTGCTTGTCTTTTCTTTTTATAATATTGATTAAAACAAATATTATGCCAATCTTTACCTTCTGCTTGTTTTCGTTCAGCAAAATAAACTGATTTTCCTTATAATTGAATATCTTATTATAACTCTATTAATTAATTCATAAAATAATTTAATTAACAAACCACATAAAGCACACTTCCAAGACATTATCTTTTTAAGTTCAAAAAAATATCTTCAATTGATTGGATATTTTTTTATAGTTTATCATAAACTATTTTTTATATTATTCTTATTTCTCTGTTATCGATTTGATTATCTTCTCACATTCTTTATTATTTGTTATGAAACAAAAATGATTTCTTCATTAAAAAAAGTTGAATTTAACCTTCAATATTTGAAACTTAATACTAATGGCTTTTCTACTTCTCTCATAGCTTCTTCACCTTTTAATTGTCTAATAATTTCTAAAGAAAATTCAATGGCTGAGCCTGGTGCTTGACTTGTAATTAAATGATTATCAACAACCACACGTTGATGAACTGCTGATTGGTTAGCAAGTTTTGGTTGAAATGATGGATAGGCAGTACACTTTCTTCCTTGACTATAAATGAATATTAAAATAAATAATAACTTCATAAATAAAAAATATGATAACAAACATTATTCCATTTCCTTCTAAAACAATAGCTGGTGACGCACAAATAGCAGCAACAAATCTATTAGCCGCAAGTTGTTCTTTTATCTTTTGAATAAGTAACTGAGAACCAGCTAAATTATCAGCACCTGGTAACCCACCTGGAATAGCAATAACATCATATTGTTCATTACATTCAGAAAGAAACTTAT